GCACAAAATTCCAAGGGGTTGAGGGAGGCACTTGGAATTTTGTGCACCCCCCTCCAGTTCCCCCCCGGGGCCCAAACAGCGATCCTGTCTCCAGCCTTCTAGTGCTGTCCTGCAAAATTCGCAATGGGGTTGCACAAAATTCCGAGTTTGCATCAATGATTTGACATGGTGATATGTATGCAATGTGCTAGCACATTGTCTGTTAGGGATCAGCCTGCTGCACGAAAAACAAGCGGTAATCATTGAAAAATGCTAACATCTTGTGGCCGTACATCTCTTACGTCAATGGCTGTGGTGATGTAGCGAGTCACAATTCTAGTGCAAGGGAAAGAAGCCCCTGTTGGTTGTAGGAGGGAAGATGGATAGGTTATGATAAACTGTATGCCATACTGAGAATACGCGCGCGTGTGTGTGTGTGTGTGTGTGTGTGTGTGTGTGTGATCAGTGATTGGAATCCCCACAATGACCTCCAAGCCCAAGCTCGGGCACACCGTCTTGGGCAGAACAAGAAGGTACGATGACCTGTTTTGGCCGTTCCTCCTTTCTCCTTCTCTGTTTTCTCTTTTTTTTTTTTTTTTTTTTTTTTTTTTTTTTTTTTTTTATTTAGTTTTTTGTCCATGGCTTTTTTTTTTTCCTATTCGTTTTTTTTTTTTTTTTTTTTTTTTTTTTTTTTTTTTTGGTTGTTGTTGTTGTGTGGTCCGATGGACCACGGATCAGATATTAGCCAGTAGCCATTGCGCGGTTTTGATTCACCTTCAGTGTAGTCAGTCACCACACACCTTTGTCAAAGTTCTGAATGTTGAGCTCTGGAATTGATTGAGGTGGAAAAGGTTCTAGTGTGAGTATGCTCTCAGTTGTGGTTGACCAGCATTGGGAAGTGTTGCTGTTGTCGCTGTTGTTTGTTGCCGTTGTCGCTGTTGTTGTTGTTGTGATAGTTATGGTTGTGGTTGTTGTTGTCGTTGTGTGCCGCCGCGGCCGTCATCGTTGCTGTTGTCGTCATGGTTGTTGCCGTTGTCGTTGTTTTCATTGCTGTTATTGTTGTTGTTGTTGTTGCCGTTGTTGTTGTCGTCGTTGATTGATTGCAGGCAAGTGGGGACTCTCCTCATCAAGAGACCTCAACATTGTCGGTATCTTGTGCATGTGTGATCCGTTCCTTGTTGGTTCTGCTGAGGGATCTCTTTCTGAGTCCACGCTTGTTCATGAGAACATCGATATGGAGAGGTCCATTTGTAGATGCTTGTCTGTTGAAAAAGCATTCACGTGTGGCTTGCCAGAGTCGGTAAATTTGGTCATATAGATCTTGTATTTCGCCTAAATTCGTCGGTTCCTATGTACTAGTTTATCACATAAAATATTTTGTTGGTTTACAACTTTACAGCTTACTGAAGTTGTGCTTGGTCATAAATTTGGAGAATTTGCTTCTACAGTGAATCTACACGTAAAACGTCGAACAGTTGAAAACGAAAAAAAAAAAGAAGAGAAAGGTGCTGGGAAGGTGGGATTTTTTTATTTATTTTTTAATCGCATCCTTGCTCTGCTGACACTTCTCACACTGTTACTTCGATTGTCAATCAGGTTATGATATACAGGCTGGTCACCCGCGGGACGGTCGAGGAACGGATAATGCAGTTTTCAAAAAAGAAAATGGTTCTTGAGCATCTCGTTGTTCAACGCATGAACAAGCCACAAGTGCTTAACCAGGTTAGCTTTCCTCTCTTTTTTTTTCTTTTTTTTTCTCTTTTCTTTTTTTCGTCTTTTTTTTCTTTTCTTTTTTTTTTCTTATTTTCTCTTTTTTTTCTTTTTTTTTTCTTTTTTTTTCCCTCTGGGTCCATGACCCTCTCTCTTGAGAGAGAGAAAGCTTCGACCATTGTTTGATACGCATGCACCAAGGGCCATGCTTATTTTCTCTGCATCACTCCATTTTTTTTTCTTCTTTTTAACAGATGTCCCGAACGTTACGAGATAGGATCTCCTGACTGCCAAAGGACTGGATGATTATTCGTTGAGGGACCTTCACATGCAAGGAAAGTGAGCGAGAGCGAGAGCGATAGGCAGAAAACGAAATTGTAACATCACGCTGAAGACCAGATAGCCGTGTGCCGAGCAGAAAAGTAGAACGCAGAAAACGAAATTGCAACATCACGCTGAAGACCAGATAGCCGTGTGCCGAGCAGAAAAGTAGAATGCACTGAGTTACATGCCAAATAAGACAATACAATAAACGCAACTGTCAATGTCATCCCTCTCTCGCCACCATCAACATTGTATCCAATGTCGTCCTTCTCATATGGCGCCCAGCGCCCAGCCTAGTCTTCCAGCACCTATGCAAGCCTATCAACAATCTATGACAAAGCAAGCAAGAATCACTTCCAGCCGAAGACCAATGTACATGAAGAAGTTGCCCATGCAGACTGCCGCATACACATCAGGTACGTGTCTCTTCTCTCTCTCCACGGCCCTTGTCCCCCACAGTGTGCATCTCCTGACACCCGAAGACCACCATCACCATGACCAGCCGCCCGCAAACAGGCCCGGTTATGGCCGCTCCCGCCTTTTGCTGGCTTGCAGCGCCCACACCACACAGCGCCCGTGTGCACTTTCAGCCAGCGCCCCTGCAGCATGCCAGCGCTCTGACCAAACAGCGTGGCCGCCAGGTCGCCGAAGGTCAGAATGCCTGGCTGGGCGACGGGCACTTTCCTTTATGGAAAGTGATGGAAACTATGCTTTCCTGCTGACTGCCCCAAATCTTGGATTGTTACTCAGTGTGAGAATTAGGAGGACCAAGATTCATAGGGGTTCCCGGCAAATAGCCCAGTGGCCGTGGGGCCCGGTAGCTTCCTTTCAGGCCAAAGTGTCTGCTCCCAGGTCCAGTTCAGATACTGGCCTGGGCCCGAAGCAGTTAGGGACGCCCAACTGTGCGACGTGGCTCCAAGTGTTCGCTGCATTCTGATTGTCTCGTGGCCAGTGCGTGACACGGCAGCTGCATTTCATTGGTCCACGGCCGTTGTGCGCCATGTCGGCCTCTAGGCTCTTGCTGGAAATATGCAGGGCCCAGTCGCGCAGGCACGGCTTGCCTCCGGAGCCTTAGTGAGCTGGCCAGGCTCAAGTGTACCTGCCCAGGGCCTTTAGCAAACGTGTCCAGGGCCCCGTTCGGTTGGAGGGCTCAACTGCCCAATGCGGCTGCTGCTGCTCTCGTTGGCGCGTAGGCCCGTGGGCCACCTCACAGATTCAGGTTTGGCGAGTGGGTTGTGGTCACACAGCATCAACCTGCTGTAACTGTCTGGAGTGCGGCATGGACTCAGCAAACCCCTAGTTAGGACCCGTGGAAACTTCAAGCCCGCAAATGATTTCCAACAGGCGCAGGCCTTTCAATAGCCTCTTGGCCCCATTCTGCGGTCACATTGGCCTGTATTCAGGCCTACGCGCATGTTTGCAGGCCTGCCTTCACTTAGGGCGGGCAATACCTTTTCCACACACTGCCGATGGACTGAAATCCTCGCGCAAATTTTTTTTATTTTTTTTCTCTCTGTAAAACAGGTCCGTATGGCCTTGGCTCCATTTCCATTCTGGGGAGCATCATTCCGGCAAGTCAGGAAAAAATGTTAAATCACGAAACACACTCACGCTTCCTTTCATCTGGCCAAGGAAACCCTGACCACCATTGATTACTCCAGCATCGTCGAGGGTTGACTGTCAGCTTGCCTTACTTCCCCCTTTCCCATCAGGTCCACCGCTGAACGACGAGTCTGAAGCTCACCTTGAGATCCTCTGCAAACATTATTACTGTCGGGAGCTGTAGGTGGTGGGCTGTTCCTACATTGACCTCTGGTAGCCTGTGTATGGAGGGATGTTTGCGTAGGAATGAGGCTATTGCTTCCATCACGAAGAAGAAGGTCGGGGGGGCTAGCGGGTCCCCTTGGCGAACTGACCGAGAGATTGGATAACAGTCAGAGAGCAAGCCATTGACTTGGACGCCCTATGGCGTCATTATACAGAATGCGCATCCACTTTCTAAAATTTGGGCCCACTCCCATCTTTTCCATGCTTGCATTGAGAAAGGCCCAGTTGACCCGGCCTCAAACTAATTAGTAATTACATCTCTCCCTTCACACTGTTTTTCTATATCTTCAGATAGCAAGGCATCGGTGGACCAGATCCAGACGCCAGATGCCAGCCAGGCCAGTTCGATCCCGTCATCTGGATATCCGGCCATGTTGGGATAATCCATACTTGTCTTGATGTACCTGTCCGGGTTTTTGTCCTGATGTACCGGTCGGTATCAAAAAGAAAAAAAAAGAAAAAGTTGAAAAACTTAGTAAGTCCGAAACTCTTGTGGGAATTTGGGGAAGGTTGGGAATTTTTTTGGTGCAGGTTGCGAAATTGCACCACAAGGGTATGCTTGGGATGTCGAGAAGTCGAAGAGCGCACCGTGGGAAGATTTAATAAGTTCATTAAAGTCAGCAAAAAAAACACTGCATGTTCTTAGCAATCACAACTCCAGGAAACTCAGCAAAGAGCTGCATGTTTGGGAGAATTCACAACTCAGCACAACCTTGAGAGAATTGTACAAACGCGGCTCAACAAGCGATTACGTTTCAATAATTTTATTCAAAGAGTTGCAACTCTGAAATTTGACCTTGACCAAGTTGACCTTTAAACCACCAGTACCTTCAGGCCTTAAGCGCGGTGGCTGAATCGGTGCGCCGCGTGGGTCCATATGCATTTGCATTGGAGCCTCCCAAGAGGGGGCCTAAGACCCCCTGGTGTACCGTCAGGCCGTTATTCAAGAGTTTAGAGTTTCAACTCTGAAGTTTGACCTTGACCAAGTTGACCTTTAAAGCCCTAGTACCTCCGCCAGTGTTGGGAAATTACTAATTAGGGAAAAGTGGACATTTTCCCAAACCTCCGCCAGTGTTTGGAAATTAGGGAAAAGTGGACGTTTTCCCAAACTCCTGAAAATTTGGAGGCCGGGCCCGACGACGGCTGCCATTGATAAATCTGATCGGCGGCAGTCGTTTCGTTTCGGCCATCCGAAAAGGTTGGAGGCCCACCCGAGGCCCGCTATTTCCCCACGCGGCAAAGGTACTAGTGGTTTAAAAGTGTAAACTTAGAGGGGATGTCCGGTCAACCATATATGAGGGTTTGGATCCTGTGTCCAGTCTGTAGAGGTGGCTACTTACCTTAGGTAACGACTGCTGCTCAATTCGGGTGCTGTCCAGTCTGTAGTGGTGGGAACTTACCGTAGGTAACGACTGCTGCTCAATTCAAAAAATATTATGCAACCGAGACACTGAGTGGCCTTACGTGACATTCTAGAGTGGTCTGCTGCAGCGGTGGTGACTATTTATAGAACCTGGCCAGAGTTCCACCTGCCATTTCCTTCCTCCCTCTTCTTCTTGTGTAGTACTAGTGAATGCATACGAATGAGCATCATTAAGAGAACAGACAAAATATATAGATCGATGATCTGAGGAAATCTGAGGGAAAATGCACAAGAATATACCACCGCCTGTACTCTTGCCTCCTTTCATAGTGTGAAAGTGGGCCGTTGTGGCACATGGGGATGGGGGCAGCTCACGCTCAACCACAATCAACATGGCGAGCCTTGTACGTGAGAGGCGCAGTAAAAGGGGAGTTGCAAGGACAAATGAAATGGGTGCCCAAATAAGCCAACCAAAGCAAACACAGTTAAGAACGGGATTCAAATGTTTCTATTTTGCTCCGGCTTGCTATAAAAGGTAATTTTTTTTTCAGTTGTTGGATTGTCTCAATTCAAGGGCCTTCGTTGTCTGCGATAGGATTAAAGCTGCTTCGATTTTGGATCTACTCATCTGGGTGGAATGGTTGCTGTTGTGGTGAGAATTCAAAACATACATGGATGTATGGATCGATGGAAGGGGATGGGTCGATAACAATGGACTGATGGATGGAAGGCTATGGGAGGGTGGATGGCGATAGATGGATGGATGGAAGGCTATGGATGACTGGCTGGAGGATGAATGCTAAGAATGAATAGATGGGTGGAAGGCAACTGAGGGGTGGATGGTGATGGACGGATGGATGGAGGGAAGCCGATGGGTGGATGGATGGAAGCGGAGGAAGGGGAGGACATTGAGTCATCACAATGTAATATGGGGAGAGAGAGAGAGAGAGAGAGAGAGAGAGAGAGAGAGAGAGAGGTGAGTGGAGGAGCAAGGACCTGATACGCATTGGCTTCAAAGCAACTGCATCTGCGGCATCACCTATCTGTGATGTGATGGGACCGTACTGACATGACATGAGTGTCTGTGACCTCTTGCTATTATGTTTGCTCTTTCGGATTCAGGATGAACTTGATGACATCCTCCGTTTTGGAGCAAAGGAGCTGTTTGAAGAAGAAGAAGATGAGAAAAGCACGGATGACAGGGATAGCACTGTGAAGAAATCCAGATCCATATATTACGACGATGCCGCCATCGATAGGTACAGATGTTCCGACTCTCTGAATGCCTTCTTACCAGTATCGATTTTTATACTTGTTGCAGCAGCTGCAAGTGTATTGTTTCCAGACGTTCCGACACTCTGAATGCCTCTTGTCGCCTCACTGGTTCATGCATTTCCCTACCCTCTCCTCCTGCGTAAAGAGGCTCCTGTCCTATGCGACCTGACTTTCTTTCCCCTTTTCTTGCTCATTCCCCTGTCATGCTTTTGCAGGGGTTCAGGATCCCTGCTCCAATATGCGTTTCGATAGAGAGCCCCTTTCGCCTCCCCTCTCCTCCATCTGAATGGAGGAGGGTATGGGCTGTTACGATTGTAATGGCGGAAACTGCCCTGGTTTTCATCCAGAAGAAGGTGGAAGATGGTGAAGGACTTTTGAGTTCCTTCGTATTGATCTTGTGTCCAATTTTACAAGGTCGTGGTGTGACTGAAGGCATCTTCTGTGTGTTGGTAGTGCAAGGTGGAAGATTGTGAAGGTCTTTTCGAGTTCCTTCGTATTGATGTTCTGTCCAATTTTGCAAGGTCGCAGTGTGACTGAAGGCATCTTCTGTGTTGGTAG